TGAAAGCCTTTGTGTAGTCAATAAAGCACAGGTAAACATCTTTCTGATATTCTCTGCTTTCAGCCAAGATCCATTGGACATCAGCAATGATATCCCTCATTCCACGGCCTCTTCTGAATCTGGCTTGAACCACTGGAAGTTTCTATCAATGTATGATTGTAGTCATTTCTGTATTACCTTTAACAAAATTTTACTCAAATGGGATATCAAAGAGATTGTCGAATGATCGTACTGTGGTGGCTTGTAAGTTGCTATGGTTCTGAAAGCTATGCCACCGATATTTTAAATAACCAGCAGGGTCACCCATGGTGGACAGGTTTCAGATTAGCTTCCAGACAAAGACAGACTAGGAAGAGAGAGTGATGAATCTTTAGTCACTGAAAACCTTATGAAGAGCAGAGAGACACTGTCAGGAAGACTTAACATTGTGAAAATGTCAATACCACCCAAAGCAATTTACACATATAATGCAATCCCAATTCAGATTCCAACAACACTCTTCAAAGAGATGAAAAAAACAATTACAAACTTTACATGGAAAGGAAAGAGATCCAGGATAGCTAAAGCACTGATTAAGAAGAAGAACATTGTGGGAAGCCTCTCACTCCTTGATCTTAAAGTTTACTACACGGCTACAGTGGTCAGAACAGCCTGGAACTGGTACAATGAAAGATACATTGATCAATGGAACAGAATTGAGAATCCAGAAATTAATCCATCCACATACAGTCAGCAGAGTTTTGAGGGCTCTAATACAGGGCATGCACAGACTATAAAACATTTTGAAAATGACACAAACAAAAGTAGACAAAATAGACGATTGGGACATACTAAAAGTTAAAAACTTATGTGCATTAAAGACTTCATGAAAAGAGTAAAATGGGAGCCCACAGAATGGGAAAAAATCTTTTGCAATGATACAACAGACAAGGGACTAATTTCCAAAATACATAGGAAGTTACAACACCTCTACAAGAAAATGACAAATAACCCAATTAAAAAATGGGCACAGGATATGAATAGACACTTCACCAAGGAGGCGATCTGGGCAGTCAACAAATGTATGAAGAAATGTTCAGGATTATTAGCGATTTGTTAAGTGCCATGGAGTCAGTTCTGACTCATGGTGACCTTGTACAGGGTTTTTGAGTCTGTTAATCTTTATAGGAACAGAATGCTTCATTGTCCTCCTGTGGAACCACTGGTAGTTTCGAAATGCTGACCTTGAGGTTGGCAAGCTGACTTATAACCACTATGCTACCAGAGCTCCTTAAGAGAGATGCATATCAAAACAACATAGAGACATCATCTCACACCAGCAATAATAGCAAAGATAAAAAAAGTAGATGACAATAAATGCTGGCAAGAATATGGAGAGACTGGGACCCTCCTACAATCCTGGTGGGAATGCAAAATGGTCCAACCACTCTGAAAAACAGTATGGCACTTCCTCAGAAGGGTGGAAATAGAAATACCTTATGATCCAGCAATTCCTCTACTTGGTATTTATCCACAAGAAATATGAGCATAACATGAGTAGATAGATGCACACCAATGTTCAAAGCAGCACTATTTATAATAGCAAAAAGATGGAGACAGCCTAAGTGCCCATCTATGGAAGTTAGATAAACAAACTTTGGTACATACACACAATGGAATATTATACTACCTTGAAGAATAATAAGGAAGTTGTAAGCCACCAAATAACATGGATGAATCCTGAGGACATTATGCTGAGTGAAATCAGTCAATCACAAAAGGAGAAATACTGCATAGGTCCATTACTGTAAAAAATTAAGAAAAAGTATCCACACTAAAAGGGGGAAATTTTTTTTTGTTGATTATTGGGGTCTATAGGGTGGAGTGAGGGGAAGAAGGGGTAGGTGGAGCACAGGGTAGGGAATAGACACCAGATAATGGAACACAGGGTAGGTAATAGACACAGGATAGTTTGAGTGTCGGGGGGAAGCCATACACCAGAAGGGGAGGGGAATGGAAGAACAAGGCAGAATGGAGAACAGTTAGGCAGGTTTGCATAGGCTAAGTGGGACAGAGGTAAATAGTGATGTATGCACAAAGTTGGAACAACAGGGCTCAGAGATACAAGGATTAAGGAATGGTTTGAATGGGTAAAAGTGGAGAAATGATGTTAAGATGCTTGGCTGTATTTGAATCTTGGTTTCCTTTGCCTTCTATTGTAAAATAGACACTTGAAGGGAAGAGAAAGATATAGCCAGAAACATTACCATAGAAAGCTTGTAAGTCCATCTTCAACCTATAACTGATTGGAATACCTAAAACGGAGCTAGAACTTGCCCAGTGAAGGAGGTTTCCTGTGGAACCTTTCCATTGCAAAAGACTATAAGGTGAAATCTTGATCCCCATCCAGAATCTTCTGAGGTGGGAAATTTCTGCTTGAAAGGACAAGCAGACCAGCCTGGAGCATCTAGAAGAACAGAAGATACTGTTTGAAAGAAAGACCAGCAGGAAAAATAAAAAACAAGTAACAGCAGTCTGATTGACTACTACAAGAACAAGCAAGTTGTTCCCCTGGGAGCCATCAAGACAAGTGATCAATCAGGTCCCCTCAAGGCAAACCCCCTTCCAGGACTGAGACTCAAGTGGAATATATGAGTAGGCATGTGGTCTTGTTGCTGAGCACGTTGGTCATTGATAAGGGGAAGTGGGGGAAAAACAGCAATGAAGTTGTGTCCTAAGTCCTACCATATTCAGTAGACTCCTGTTTACCTGGGTTGAGACCTGGTTGGACAGCATTATGAGGAGGCCTAGTGACTCCTGGGCCAGGAGCAGGGATATAGCCCCAGAAGACTAGAGCAGAGTGTGATGCATCCACCTGATATGAAGTGAGGGGAGATACACAAAAACATCCACACTTGCAGATAGTGCCCATTTGACCTTGCAACAATGGCTGATCAGAACATGACTAGAGGAAGAAAGAAGAGGAAAAAAAGAGTAATCCACTACAATTAGTTGAACTTAACCTATGCTTGTGGATGCAGTATGGCAAAGAAGCGAACAAACCTTTACAGTGAGGATCATTCCCACACCCTTGGTACACAGGATCAACAAGGATGGGGAACTTAGACATTGGCTATCCAAAATGAGGTGACTACAAAGGCAAGAAGTGACTGGCTTACAAGATTTCAATACGGAATCTAGTTCCAGAGGTTACCGGGAAAGGTGGAATCTCCACTGAGTTGGTTCCAACCTGTCTGGATGGGGCTGATAAAAGGTGATGGGGATAAGACTCCTGTGGTTCAATAGGAAATGATTGCTATCCGGTCTGGCATTGAGTGTTGGAAAGGTAAGGGTAAATGTTTTGTAACAAAAGGAGGGTAGTGGTTGATTTTGGTGTCTAACAGCAGAGATTCCTGGAACCATCAAGGAAGAAGAGTGAAGTGCGGGACCCTGTCTGGGGAAGCAGTGATGCCAGGGATGGAGGCAGAGACAATGATGTGGAGAGAAGTAGTAGCTGGGGACTCTGGACTCAGGGAGGGAGAGGGGCTGTGTGCTGGCAGCTGGGAGGCAGGTGTGAGGGGTGTACCCTTTGGTTGTTTGATGATGCATGCAGGGGATGGTAATCATTGCAATGAAACGAAATAGGATAGGAAGAATGTAAAGATAATATTCTCTCATGAAAAATAACACATAATTCACAATAATAACTTAAAAAAAAGAAAAAGATTAGATGTTCAAGTCCACCTAGAGACAGTGTGGAAGAAAGGACTTTCGATCTATTTCCAAGAAATCAGCCTTATAAGAATAAAGCACAGCTTTATTCTGACACACATGGGGTGGTCATGAATCAGAATGAACTTGATGACAACTGGCTCTGATAAAGCTAATTCAAGTAGTCTACAATTATGAAAAAATACAAAAAGCCTTGTAACCTTTTTGAAAGCATGACAATTATTTTTGAATATTCAAGATCTACTCGATTGTGCTAAATAAGCCTCATTAGTGTATGTCTGTAGCAATAATGTGTTTTACTAAACATAATTTTATCAAGTCAGGATCAAATCCATAGCAACTAACATCTGTGTAGCCACATCTCAAGAACTAAGCCCCCAGATCCCTCAGTTATTTACTTCTTATTGTCATTGAGGTAATCACCGGGTATCTTTTATGTCTGTTTATTTTATTTTTGATAACGGAAATTAGTTAACTTCAGCTATCAAAAAAATATCGTAACAGAAATTCAAAAGCCTACTGATACACTGAGCTCTAGTGTGATACCATAGGATAAGCATTGGACTGCTAACCACTAGATTGGCAGTCCTAACCCACTTTTGGAAACCTAGACACGGTCTCTATGAATCGGAACCGACTTGATGGCATACAACAATAACAACAATTATTAAATTGATGACTTTTTTCCACTGAGTTAAGTCTATCATAATCGTTATAATTAATGCAAACCAATAAGACAAGATATAAGAAAATTACTCTTGCCAAAAGTTTACTAAAGGCATTGACACAATTCCTACAACCTCCTATAACCATATGACATAAAACAAACAAATCATAAGGACCACCATACTGTCTAATCTATGCAATAGTCTTGTTAATATGGAATTCATGAACTCATGTATACAACAATGCTGCAACCAGAGCAACTCTTAATAATCCTTTTTATATACTACTGTTTTATTAGTGGTTTTCCTTCATGATACATAGGATGCTAACAGAAAATTTTAGTTTAAGCTGCCTTCAGGTCATAAAGCAATAACTGCCCAACTGATTTCATTTTATAAAAGCTGAAAATGATAATAGGCATTCTTCACAGTCAAAAGTGATGGGAAGGGAACAGAACAATGCAGTCAACCAAAATTTTCTCTGATACACACACTGATCTCCAAGTGTATGTCACAATGGATCTTCAGTTCGTATTTGAATCCCAATATTTTACAAAATCAGAAATCTCCAACTGACTCTTAAACATGGAGCCAAAGTATGAAAATCCATTGAAAAATTTATGTCTAACTCATTGTTTAGTAACTGAACATATCCCAATAACAACAATAACAAAACAAAAAAAATTTTTTGAGAACTCTTGTCAAACTCTCACTCTCTTTAGTTTGAAGTGAATACATTTTAGCCCTTCCCAAATTCTTGCAACACAATGCATTTTTAAAAGAAAACAGATAGAATTTCCCTGCCTACTCCCAACCTGATTTATTTACTTTTTAAAAAAAAAACAAAAAGGCTCCTGAAAGAAGGAGATTTAAGACACAACAAATTACAGAACTGCAAACTGTTTAGCTCATTCATCCTTAAGTCCGATGGCAAGTTGGCCTCCTCCCATCTGAATTACATCAGGTTAATTATTTCAAAGCCTGTGAAACAAACACAACTAAATGGCATCCGGGGATTGCACAAAGCCAAGGTGTAACACAATATGTTTCTACTACTTCATTTTAATACTTGCTTTCTCTCCCTCACAAGATCTCCCACAGAACTCACATGTTGGATTAGTTTGGGCCAGCAAAACTAGATCAAGAGAAAGAACACTATTATTTTGGTTTGGTTCAGATAACAGTTTTTACTATTCATTAGTTTTAAAAAAGACAAATCTCATTAACAAAACATTGACCTGGATTTTTTTTTTTTTTCCAACCTGTTTGGATATATTTTGGAGTTTAGAACATAAACTTGATT